AAAACGTGCTACGCTATGGACAAGCGAAACAACTGGAATTATCGTCGAAGAAGACTTTTTTGACACGACCCGTTATCGATTTCACGGCTGCGCCAGGGGTGGGGGGCGGTTCGAAACCTTTTCATCGAAGGTCGAATCCTTGAAGCGCGGTGACGAACGAGGGGCAGGTCTGAAAAAGAACCGCAAGAGGAATACCTAACCTGGATCCCCCGGAGGATAACGGCAATAAAAACGCGCAAGTATTTTGCCGAAGAGCGACAGGTGACAGAGAAGATTACTTTTGCGTTTGTGCGGTCGAAAACCCGCTGTAACGAGCGTATCGTGGTGTGGCCGCCCCCGGGGCAAATATCTTTCTTGCAGGTCAGTGATATATCCTCGATTCGCTTAGAGGATTTCAATTTCGTATAATTTTCCGTTATCCGAGCGGAACGAAAACTCGTTCATATGTATATGCGGGACACGCACGGTTTAAACGATACCGCGCGGAAACTTTATAAAATTGAAAGTTCGTCAACGTGTTCCCGTGCGTTTTATCACGCTTTAAAATACCATTCCGTGAAATTTTAAATATCCAACGACGACCGCCTATAATTCACGTCGAAGGTATTTTATATAAATCCCATTATACGAGTTCCAACAACAGCGCGGTCTCGTATCGCGAACGGAGGGGGTGGTCGATAATTGAAACATTCTACGGCAAAGGAGTGCTTTCGATGTTCGTACAAAGAAAGAGAAAATGTCCAGGTTTAATTCCCCGATTAAATATTTTACGCGCTCTCTCTCTCCCGATCGGAACAATAGATTTTTGGCCCCTCCGACCTCTTTTTTTCCAACGGCCAAATTCGCAATTCTTTCACGTCGTACGAGAACTTCGCTCCAACGACCCTAACCTCCCAGCAAACGTTTTTTTTTCTGCGCAACCTTTTTTTTCTACTCTTCTTTTTCTCTCTCTCTGTCTGTAAGCCGGTATTCAACGACGGTAGAGCTCGATAGTATACGCGAACTCAGCTTAAATGGCCTAACCAGTTTCACCCAGAAAATGTTTTTCATGTAACGGCCCGACGGAAGTTGGACTTGGACGGACTTAATTGGGTTTTGTTCCACGCCCTTCGATCGCTCGGCTGCTGCTGCTGCTGCTGCTGCTGTCGCGACTTTTGCCCTCTCTCACCCTTCGTGACGAGTGCCAGAGCAACGTATCCGCGTTTTCCACGCGTTTTCCATTGGGATTTTCCCCGTTGTTCGGCTATCGATCCCCTTTTCTCGCCCTCTCCTCCTCTTCTTCCTCTCGGGCAACCTTTCCTTTTCTGGGAACACTGACAGACTGCCGGGCCACTCCCCCCTCCCTCCCGGGTGGTGGTTGTGTCCGCCACGCCAAAAATCGACTCGAAGCCGAAGCGCTCCCGCGGGACCATCTTATGGCTTTTTATTTTTTTAACCTACATTTCCGACGGTGAAACACGCTTAACCCGTGCCACGGTTCAACGGCCAAACGGAAATACTCGCCGCTTAAAAAGAACCTATCGTTACTATTCCTAATTGGAAGATATCACGTGGCAGATTTAATTACGCACGGTTATCCGTTAATGAATCTACGATCGGAATTTCTGAATCCGATTCGCGAGGAGCTTATCTATTCGATTAGTAGGAAATGTTTCCCGATCGATTTCTAATACGAGTGTAAATATCGACGAACTGGTTTATCCTTCGGTTCGATTATTTCCTTCTGTCTAAATATACTCCCATCCGAATGTATCCCTTTTCTACGAAGATGTCTCCGGTCGTTCGAATATCGATCCCTGCCTTCTCTCCCCTGTCTTTCACCATCCCGGCAACGTGGATTGCCAACGACGCTTTTCCCAGCTAGAAAACGCGAGCTGTGTAACGTTAAGCTCGAGACGGGGTAGACGTGCAGAGAGAAAGTCGGCCTCGCGGGACGTTTCTCGCACCTTCCGACTCTTCTTTCTGTCCCTTCCACGGGATCCTTCTACGCACCCTTTCGCACCTCTCCACGGAAAGAGGAGCGCGCCCTCTCTTTCCGTTTCCTCCTACCGCCTTTGATCGTGCTTGTACACGATGCACGGCTTTTAAGTAAGAAACCGTGAAGAATAAAAGCTCCTCCGACGTGGCATGTAAAGTGAGCGCCGTACGGTATCGTCCAATGACACATTGTCGAACGTGTGCCTCCGCGAGGCAATTCTTTCGGACGACGAATCTCGTCGCGCGTCTGTCTGTCGTATTATGTCGAAACGCGAATAGTCGCTGAATCTTCGAGTCGAGGTACGCAATATCGAAAAATTGCTCGTATAGGGAACTATAACGAGAAGTGGTTACGGTTACTCGACCGTCCTCTCTCCTTTTTGTTTTTATTAATATTTCATTGGTCGCGTCGGTTTCTCCATTATTCTCTCGCATCGCTGACCGTTCCGACCGAATAATAACGTGTAAAGGCGCGCACGTACCGGACAATCATCCGTATGTGTGTAGAGCGTAGAGCGTAGAGCGTAGAACGTAGAGAGTGCAGAGGGGTGGTCCTGACGAAACGCATCAACCTCTGGGCCACGATGCACTCCCTGCCTGCACACACGACCAATCATGGCCGTAGGAATTAGGGGGTTCGACGTACGCTTTGCTACTTTTAATTCGGCAAATTAACGAACAGCGTGAACGTCGTCAACATCGTCAACGTCGCAACCGCTGCCGCATACGGATAACTATAGGGAAAATTTACCCAACTACCGCTGGCTGCGCTGTTCGAATAACGTCGTTATCGTGCCGCGGAAAAATCGACGTGGATTTTCCCGGGGTATCGTTACCGTAAACTGGCTACACGCTATCGCTGGTCCTTCTTTCCCCTATTTTCCCTCGACACTGTGACTATCGCCGATTTTCCCAGCGACGGGTTTTCAGTAATACAGATCATTTTACCAAGCACAACGAAAGTCGGAACTGCGTGTCATTTTTCGGGTTAACCAGATGAAAGCGTTAAACCGTAGGATTATCGGCAGTCGGTAATTTTCCGATGAATTTTCATTTGTTTATTTGCTCGTCGTAATTTCGGAAAATATCGACGACCCTTGGAACCGTGACGGGGAAAATTTGACAAATCCGAACGAGTTCGGGATATTCGGTAATTTTTTTCTCCCCGGTGCAGGGGAATAATTTGAACGTGGCTTGATTGCGCCGGATAATCTTTTTTTTCGTCGAGATGAAAAGTTCGATGGAAATCATCCGGGCATAGGAGCGCCGATGGAAACCTTTATTAAATAAACATGGCGTTTTGACGTTGCTCGACGGGAGGTCATCTTTTCACCAACATCCGCGGAACTTGGTATACGCGGGCAACGTAACGAGGTGATCGTTAGCCGCACGTTTATTACGCCCTCTCAGCACCCTCGCGGAAAATAAAGCGTGCTGAAATCCGTGCTGGCGCAAACGTTTCCACGTGAAATTCGGGTCAAGAAATAACGCGGAACGATCGAGCGAAGAAGAGCAAGAAAGAGCGAGGTAATTTAAGACGCGTTAAATAATCGGAGGATAACGTAGAGACGGAGAAAGGAAAGTGATCTAGTGGTTTACGTCCAAGTTGAACGGACACGTATTCCACGAGTGCCGTTAGTTGAAGTTGTTTTTCAAAAAGGTTTACCTACTCTCCGACATATTATAACGAACCCCTTGTTTCTTTTTCTCTTTACAGATTGGAGGCGCTGCGGTAGCGTCGACGAGATACCAAGGACGAAGACGACGGTGACGACGACGTGGAGGAGAACGGCGGCGTGATCGTGTCGCGGGGGTGGTGGGGTTGAAAATCGGCGCTTGCCCGGTGTCTCCTGTGTACCTCTCTCTCTCTCTCTTTTCCCCCCTCTCGTTTTCCTTCCCCTTTTACCATCCACTGCCCCCTATTCTCCGAGCCGGTGCCTCTTACTCCTATCCACGTGCGTAAGGGGTAGGTGTGCGTGCGGTGGAGGCGCGTAAGCACGCACACGCGGCTCGCAGAGTATACGAGAGAACGTAGCGCAGCGTGTAGAGACGCGGCTGCGCGTACAACCGGCCGATTCTAACTTGAAGAGAGAGAGGGTAGCCGTGGGCAGCGTAGTGGGGGGGCGCGTGTCACCTGTCGTGGCGCTGCGTAGTGTCAGTGTGACGGCGACCGTCGTTGGGCGCGGAACGTCTTGTGGTGTGTATATCGTTCTTGACTAGCTGTACACGGTGTATCGAAACAGACGCACACGGTATCGTGCGCCTACGTGTGCGCCGTGTCTTTGCCCCTCTGTCTCTTTCTTTCTCTCTCTCTTTCTCTCCTTCTCTCTCTCTCTCTCTCTCTCTCTCTCTCTCTCTGTCTGCCTCTTTCGTTTCGCGTACACACACACGCACGCGCTTTCTCTCTCTCTCTCTCTTTCTGTCCCCTTTTTCTCTGTTTATCTATCTGCTGCTGTTGCCTTTCTCTGCTCTCCCCTCTGGTAATTTCTTTTATCCCGACATCATCCCCCGTCCCTTGGATATTCAAGGCCGATTTTCGGAACCGTGCGACGAGGTGTGTGCGGACACGCCGCGTTCGATCTCGTGAATGTGCGCGATCAGGAAGCCGGTCGTCCCGAGGGAAACATGCGTGAGCAGAGCTGGAGGACAACGACTGCGACAACGACGAGGAACACGCTGCACGTGACTGCGGCACCCTCGCACGTTCTGCTGCTGCAGTGAGTGGAGAGAAAGGGAGGGAAAAGAGAGTGATAGAAACACGTCCTTTCTCCTTCCGCTGTTACGTCGGAGCCTGTGCTTAACGGGGAGTAAAAGAGTGCCGGTGGTTGGTGCGGTATACGTGAGTTACCGGGGTTCTTTCGTTGCCGTGATCCACTACGAGGAGACTACGAATCCTGGCACGTTCCCGGCGTCCTTGTGCGAACCATCCGAGAGAAGATGAGGCGTACCATCTTGGAAACGAGGATGCACCCAGTGTTATCCTGTTGGTGCGTCATCGCCACGTTCACCCTCGTCCTAGCCGCATGGCAGGAGAATATCAGGCCGAAGATGTACGTCCAACTCGGTGAGTGTTTTCATCTTTTTTCCTTCTCTCTCCCGTGTGTGCGATCCGTTCAGCGTTGTCACGCGAGCGGCGGCGGCCAGAAAAAGTGTTGTTGGTGTCGACAGAGCGTGCTCTGTTAGCGAGCTAGCGGGCGATAAGAGTATTCGAGGTGACTCGAGAAAGAAATCACAACAAGGCAGGGAATTTCGTCGAAGCTGGTGTCATCGGACGATAATACGCGTTCGAAGCAGAGGAAAATTAGCCAGAGACCTCTCGTTTTACGAATCCTCTGTTTAAAAATCTTTACTCTCTGGCTATCGATCGGAAGGAGGAAAATATAGCTAGAGGCGAAAAAAAAGCGCCGTTCCTCCGGTTACGCTCGAGCGAGAATTAAAATACTCTCGCAGACGGCGCGGAGGGTAATTTTATATTCTCGTTTGGCCGGGTAGTGCGCGTCGAGTAGCCGAACGACGATGCGGAACGGAAGTTGCACCGGGTGCAGGGTCATGGACCTTCCCCCACCCCGGCTATTGTTTCACCCTTGGCGAAGGGGGAGCTGTGTGTGCAACTCGGTGACTGTAAACCCTAATCAGTGACATAACCGTACCCTCTAGACGGATACTAGGAAAGAATATACAGGTATCGACCAGGCTGTCCCGTTTAAATGATTAAATCGCGCGACGGAACCGGGGTTCCTGGAAAAACTCGACAACCGCGGTCCGCTTATCGATTTCTCTCTCTTCCTCCCTCTCTCGCTCTTTCGTTCTCGTCCATGATCTACGCGGTGCTCGATAAAGCAGCCGATTAATTTCATTCCTCTTTGCCATCGCCGTTCGTTCGTTCGCGATGCTTTGACGACGAGATCCGGCGAGATCCGACGCGAGCCAGCTCAAGCGTGACGGATTAAAGTGTCTGAGCGTGACGATTGTTTGGTCGATTGATATCTTGGAATCGGGGGCAGAGGTGGAAACGGGAGAGGAGAGAAGGGAGAACTGCGAAACAGTACAAAGTGTCCCACATCCGAGGCACTCGACCTTAACGGCACTCGGCGTGTTTCATAGCCGTGGTACGCGACCGACATCCAACATCCATCGTTCTTTCGGTGATATTTCGGCGAGAGAAGGAACGAAATAAATTGCTACGATTCTCTACGCATCGCGACGCCTCGAAGATAGTCTCGTCATTGGGTCAGTGTCGATTTTGCACCGATCAACTCTTGGCATTGATTCGACTCGCCTTCTCGAGCCCCGCTGTTTATCGAACGTTAGCGAGATGGACGTTTATCTCTTTTTACACTCGTCTGGCACGGGAAGCATTAGAGGCTGAAAAATGAATCGAGAGAGAGAGAGAGAGGACGGGTTAACGTCGAGCGTAGAAAAGTAGAGAGAGCAGACAAGAGGCCGAGATGGACGTTTATCTCTTTTTACACTCGTCTAGCACGGGAAGCATTAGAGGCTGAAAAATGAATCGAGAGAGAGAGAGAGAGAGAGGACGGGTTAACGTCGAGCGTAGAAAAGTAGAGAGAGCAGACAAGAGGCGCCACTTACGGTAGTAACCTTTTAAAAGAGTATCCGAGCAACGAGCGGAATAAATTTTCGGCGCGATGGTCAGCGTGTAATTGGACGCGTATTACAACCTACTTGGTTTTGGTAAGCTGCAGGAAGCATTTTCGGGCGTAAGGTGTACCCTTTTAAAATGGTATTCGACGCGGAGAGGTACACGGCGTTAGTAGGCCGTGACGTAAGCTCATTAGGCCGTCGTGAATTTCGTTTCGCTTATTATTTTCCAATAGCGACGCGACGTGCGGCTGGAATTGAAATTACACGAAGCACGTGTTATTAATACGCCAGTGGCGTTGCGGGAACGGCACTGTTTTGCTCACTGAGCCAGAATTTCTGCTAATTCTACAACGGGGAAAACCACGCCGCAGAACCGAAATTGTAATCACCGGGAAATGCATATTGCCGTTATGGGGGCATCGCGAGGGACCCGGCCTCGCTGACGCAGCATTTTCCAACGGCTGTTTATTGCGATTCCACCGACCGCTAATGCTTATTTTTACTCGTGTGAATTTTCAAGGGATACGCCGTAATTACCTGCCAATTAAATCCTCTTTACGCCGCCGCCACTGGTAGGGTAGTTTCACCTCTCCGTGTAGTAGGAGGTAGACGTTTCCACGAGAAAACTTCTTCCCGACCAGTCGCGATTTCCCCGTTGCCGCTTTTATCTTCCGGCCCAGGCCATTTTTACAAACGTAAAAACCATCGACAGGCGGCGATATTTCAGTGGTCGCGGGGAAAACGCGTCGCGTCTGGCCCAGGAGTGGCGTTGACGATCGTCCGCGTGTCCTGACTGAAAAAGGTAAAATATCTGCGCGGTTTCTCGAAGGTCGTAAATCAAGCGGCGTTAAAAATCGAAATCGCGCGCAGAGAGCGGTCCTGACCCCGCCTGTCGCGCGAGGATAGAAGGGAGATCGGAAAACTCCGCTCGACGGATCGATAACGAGTGGGAACCGCGTTGGCGTGAAATTCCAGGAGAACGCGGACGAAGGACGGCGCGAACGAGAAAATTAAGGGTGGTAATGCGGTCGAAGGCGATTTCGTGGAGATTTACGAGGGAGGAACGTATGGTGAATCGAGTGGATGGAGAAGGGAGGCTGGTGCAATACGTCGTTTACGCGTTTATGCGAATACGTTATTAAAAGACACACCGCGAATCCGGTGCGGTTGGTAATAGCGGCCGGTTACGAGTTCATTACTACACAGCAGAGTCGAATGCGAGCGTAGGATCAGAATATGGGCTATAGCGGCCAGTTAATCCATATTACGGTAATTTTATCCGGCAGCGAGGAATACCGCAGCGGACCAATCACAGCACGACCCCGAACCGATGAAGATACATTATGATTAGTTTGAACGTACACCCGACGGTATATGCGACGCGACGCGGCACGTATAACCTGACCTCGGTTCTGACCACTGGCTAAAATTGCTGGGAATCGTGTCAATTGACTCCGCGTTTCAGAACCGTGAAACGTATTTCCACTACGTTTCACGGCGAACCAACGAAAGGGAAAAAGTTGCCGGCCCTTTCTCGAGCAACTTTGAATTTACACGATCGAACGACGCGCTACCATCGGCGAACGGAACGGCGACGGATCGATGTCCGCCGCGCCGGTCGTTATACCTTTTTCCTTTTGTCGTTAGACGGATAGAGGCAGGAGGGAGGCAGGAGGGAGGCAGGTTGGAACGAGCGGAAGAATGCGAATCCGGCGAGAGCGCGCACGGATTAATGCCAGACAATTGGCGAGGTGTACGAGCTCGCGAGCCTGGAAATGATTGATTCGATACGAGACGAGGGTCGCCCCTTTTTTTAAGATTTCTCTTTGAGGATCGTTCGCGTGTACATACCACCCCCGCATTTTTTGTGAACCTCGAGTGTGTACTCGACGATAGAATAAGTAGCATACTGGCATTGCCGAGGGGTTCATAAATCTTTTGTCGAGAAGATCCCCCTCGCCATGCCCGATCCGGGAAAAGCAAAAGGTCAAAAGCAGCGGCCGCTGGGAGCGGTTTCTTCACTCGAGTACAAGTAAAAGTGTCCTCTTATCGCGGGTGTTGACTCGACCCCGCGCGCGTGCTCGCGCTCAGATGAGGAACCGTCGTAAATACGATCGCTTTCGCGAAACTTGGATGGAGTTCCTCTCGCGTCGATTCTGACCATTTCCCTCGCCTCCACCTTCTCCTCCTCCTTCCACCGATCCTATAGACGATTAGTTGGCGATTTTATTATCGTCTCGAAACTTTGCGAATTCTTTAATATCGAGAAACTTGTTCCCACTCTCTCCCTTTCTCTCCTTATACATCTCGACTCGTCTTATAACGTCTCGACCACCGCTTCAAAGTGAACGCCGAGTTTCGATGCATTAATATCATCTCCTCCAGCTCTTCTTCCTACTCCATCATCACCGCTACCACCACCACCACCCGCTTTCGATGCTTTCGAGCGCCAGTCTTTTTCATTCTATTACCACGATGGCAGTTGGTTTTATCGCCTCTCGTGCCTTAATTATTCGCGTGTCCTAGGAAAACAGAAGGAGGAAGGGTCTCTTTACGTCATCGAGTCTATTTTCTTTCTCCAACGCATCTTCCACGTCATTGGATCGAATGATAAAATTAAACGGCGTCGTAGCTCGTCCGATGATCTCTCTCCGGCAAAGTTAACTGACCTGCTGCTTTTCTCTCTCTTCCTCTTTTCTTTCCCCACCCTATTTTCCGATTCGAGCATCGTGCCACCATAGTTGCGCCCCGGCCATTCTGCTCTTTGCTCCTCGTCGTTGCTCCGTCCGTGCGTCGCGTGGCTCGCCGATCTTTTCCTCCTCGATTCGGCTGGTACAGAAATTGGTTTATCGACGGGTAAAGTATGAATAATTCAAACCGGACGATTCACAGTCCAATCAATTTGAGTCCGAAAGCAACGTGGCAGCCGGTCTGTAGTCGGGTAGCAGTAGACTAGGGGAGAAGCTTACTCGAACGGGATGGAACGAAAAGGACCATTAGTAGTACGGTCTAGTTTAATGCGAACCCTGAAACGCCCAACGTGTGCCTGCCCTCCTACTCGCCAATCAAATCTAACCACCCTCCAAGTAAATACAACAACCTTCCCTACCGAGAAAAATAATCCTTTCAATATCGATTCGGAATTTTCTTTAATACGCAAAATCTGATCTACACTTTCCATCAAATACATTGCTGCAAGCACGGCCAGCGGGGTGACTATTGCGCCGTTGTTCTTTCCGCGGAGAATATCCGGAAATTCCGATCGAAGGAGAACGTATCCCACGGTGTGCTGGTTTCGTATCGGCTAGCATCGTTGCAGACGAGAAAGAATCGATTTCCGCAAATCGAATCAGCTCCGCTCGGTTTCCGGCACTTGACCGGAAAAATTTCTTCTCGTTAGAAGGATAATTTGAAGGGTGCTTGTTGGATCGTTTGAGTCGCGAATTACTCCGCGGATAGATC